AAATATTTCGTCCTTTTGCCACCACACCGTTACATCATGAAGCTTTACTATGTTTTAACCGCTAATACGTCTCCTACGGATAGTTTTTGAGTGTGTGTTCTAAATAAATGCGTATATGTAATGTAAAAAAAAGTAAAGTTCCCTTTAAGAACTAGTGATTTATAGGGCAGATGAAGTAAAGGCCATATGTTTCTAAGGCTTGCGTTTAACGAGGGTGTTATGTGGCCAGCACAACGACCAATCGCCTTAACTTTTCCATTAGAGCTGGGTGGATTCAGGGTCGTCCTAAAGATCCCAAAAGTACAAATTCCAGTGTTCACCAGGATTCGATTCAAGGACCCCCGGTTCGGAAACCAAGAGCTTTACCACTCACCCATCATGTCTCTTTATTTGCAATGTATTTGTTACAATTTTTTCGCCTGGATTTTTTTGTATTACGTCAAAACCAGTGGAACCGAACGTTGTAACAACTCCGGAAGTAGGAACAAGACCGTTTCAAGGTAAGAAGATTTCGTTAAGTTGTATCACAGTTATCAGGCATTATCATGGCAATTCTTTATACACGAGCAGTTCCATTCTTTCTAAACTATAGACTATGCACAGTTCAATGTTGTCACAATGTTGCTATGTTGTTATCACACTGACGTTGTGTGGTTTGCACACTGCTGTTTGGGTGTCGTGCTGCTGTTTGGGTGTCGTGCTGCTGTTGTGTCAATATCAAACTGTTGTGTGGTTATCACACTGGTTTTTTGTCCTGGAGTGGGGGTTTTCTGCGAAAGTTTGATTGTGAAATTGTGAACATATAATATTTACAAAAGATTTTTATTTAATTATTTAATTTTTACTACCTTTACTATTTTAACTGTGAATAGACTTTGTTTTACTGACTTAACTATATAAACTTTAGCTCTTGTGGTATGAAGGAAGAGTAACCCTTGAAGTATTTCGAGCACGACATGGCCTAAAGTGTGCCGATGTGCCAACAACTCAAACTCAAACACTGTTTTTTTGTGTGGTTGTCATTTGGTATTCTAGATTTAAGAAACGCATTCATTGCCTTTCGCAGAATCGACTGAATAGAATGGAAACAGCTCTGTGTTCCCGCGTTCAAGCTCTGCCCATCGCCATCCTTTGGCTTCGTGTTGGAAATTTGAGTTTAGACGAAACAAATTTTTTTATTTCAGAACGTCTGACAGCTTGCATGTGAATTTAGAATATTGAAGAATTTCATTGCACAAGCTTGAACAGACTAACACCCACAGATATTCTTTCAATATAGTCTTCACTTATTTTATTCTACAGGGATAATACAATGACACAAGATAAATGGAATAAATAGATACACACTTAGAATTCTGAACCACTAAATGTACAACTGATTCCCTATACTCTCTTCACTACTTTAGGGAGATATTTGCATTGTGTAGAAAAACGATTCCAATCGTAGGAGAGAAGGGAGTGGACTCTAGTTGTGAATTCTATACGAATGAGTCGCCCTTGACAAAAAAAGGTTTTTCCAAAGCACTTTGACAGAATTCTGTAGAAACTTTAGGGAAGAGTTAAAAATAGCTAATTATTGTCCAAGTTAAAAACAATTTTAGACTTTTCAGTAACGACCACCCAGATGTTTTTTTTACAATGCTTAGATCAACTCACTGTGTCTGATACACTTTTTTACACGCAATTTCTCCCACTCCCATGCTCACATAAAGTTGAAACTTTACACACTTATTAGTTGTATCTAACAACCTCCAGCAGCCTTGTTGGCTACACATCTAGTAGTAGGAAAACTCTGAATCCAAACCTCCATTTGTTTGCGGCTATACCCTAAAAAGGAAAGGCTTCGGGAGACAACCCTGAGGAAAAAATCAGGAACAGGTGAGGTACTAGTGACCCTTAGGCAAATAGTGGCACACTGTGCTTCCACCTAAAAGAACCTGCTGCGCTGCGATTTCTGCCATCCAAAACAGTATCGGATATTTCCATTCCTTTGGTCACATCAGCTGTTTGGGGAGGGAGGAACTGGGTGAGCGATATCGTTCCGACCATAAATAATGCCCAGGCCTTGATCTCGCTTGTTCTAGGAGACGAACTAAAGACCAACAAGGACCAACATGTTTATGGTTATAAATCAATTATACAGGTCCATACAATGTTTATGTGTCGGTCGATAAATTGTATATATGAACGCCTATACCTTGTTGTGTCGGCTTCAAATTATAGATAACTCCTTCTCAAGTAGGTACATATAGGGCTTAGCTAGTGATACAAAAATATTTGAATAGAAAGTACTGACCACGTTGTGACAATTTCCTGTTTCAGTTTTGACCACGCCAGCAGTGACAACCATGAATGCAACCACACCAGGAACGGAAGGTACACTCTGTTGTATATAGTATATACTATAGTACAAATACGTATGCTAATTAGTTCACATTTCCCGAGATTTGAAAATCTTTAGGGAATGTCCATTCTTCTCGTAACATCTTTGGCTCTCCTGGCTCTTTGTCTCTATTACAAGGAGGGTGTGATGTGGCCAGCATAAAACAAAGGAATAAAATAGTTAAGAAGTGGAGCAAATATTCTTTTCTGTTAAACTTCGCTACCAGTAATAACATTAACACTAAATCACCAAAACAAATCTATTTTTAGCGGCCCCCGAAAGGGGAAAAGACGCTATTAATTTTGTGTGGCCTGTCAGTCCGTCTGTCCGTCCGTCCCGTTTAGATCTCAGAAACTAGAAGAGAAAATGAAAATCGGACATCATGATATTTTAGATCATTTAAAGTTCTGATGCAATGCCTACTTTTTTCTTTTCCGAAAAAGAACCATCTAATTTTTTAATTATATATAGTGGTGCAGATTTTTCAAAAATTTACACCACTTTTCAATGAAAAACTTCAGGGGAAGTAAGTCTTATTAAAAGTTCACAAGCTTCTTCATTAATAAATCAAGCTTCATTCATAGATTCGCGCAAAATAATTTCAATTAAGGTTACGATTGAAAAAGTATCAATGGATCATTATAAAAAAGATTTTCCATTTGTTAACTCATGGAATAGAATACTGATTCGAATGTTGTTTTTAAAAAGAATTTTAATACGAACTTCGTTTCAATTGTAAGTTTAAAAACAACAACAAAACAACTATTTTTTACCGCGCAGCTTTCACACATCCTCATTAGGCTACACACTTGACAACAATCTAAATCTAAATTACAACAAGATTACAAATACAGTTTGTGTGGAAACACAAACTCAAAATCGGTCCCCGAAGTGGTCCACCCACACTGGCAAAAAAGCAGGTTTCCATATTTTCAGAAAGACTATCAGAATAAAATTCTATCAAACGCAAATGACTGAGAAGAATGGAGAAAGAAGGTTGACAGATCTTGTGTGGTGTCCCTACGGTCCAGGAGACCAAGGAATAAGTGAAAGTGCAGGTGAAGATAGATGTGAAGCTGGCTTAACCGATTTCATATAATGATTATCTTATTGATCTAATCGTTTTGTAAAGGACCAATCTCTTACTCAAAGTCTCATTAAGAAAAAACATTTCGTTAAAAAACAAACAAACTAGGTTTCAAAGAAACACAAACTCAAAATCGGCCCCCGAAGTGGTCCACCAAGGCAGGCTTCAATATTTTCAGAAAGAACATCCGAATGAAATTATATGAAAGACAAATGACAGATCTTGTGTAGTGCTCCAACTGTCCAGCAGATCAAAGGATAGGTGTAAGTTAATGGAAAGTTAGATGTGAACCTGGCCTAACTAGTTCCCCTTTCAGACATTGTGGTCTATAGGGCAGATGATGTAAAGTTCATCTGTTTTTAACAAGGGTGTCATGTAGCCAGCACAACGACTAACCGCCTTTACTTTTCCCCAACTAATGTCAGGTACCCATTAGAGCCGGATGGACTCAGAGGCGCCCAAGGATTCCGAAGTTGAAAATCCCAGTCTTCACCAGGATTCGAACCCGGAACCCTCAGTTCGGAAGCCAAGCGCTTTACAGCTCAGCCACCGCGTCTCCCCTAGCCAAACTGATTGCTTATATTTTGTCTAATTGTTTGAAAAGGCTAAATCTCTTATTCGAATCATCGAGAAACTTTCGTGTAACGATTGTGTCATTGTGTAGATATAAAGAAATTGCAGTTTACAAGATTACTATTCGATTAAAATTATGTTTAACTTATAATGCATAATAAATAGATTTCTTTTCTCTTTAAAAAATAGTAAACATTTGTTCGTGTGTTAAAATTGTATTTAGTATAACAGAACTTACATAACTTAACAATACAAATATAACAACAAGCATTTTTGTCAAAAAATCTACAACCGTTTGCATAAATGTGTTAAAAATATGGAAAACGTTTGTCTCCCCTAATAAAGAGCCTCACGTATTTAAGTGTTTAATAGTTAGTTAATAGTTGTAAAACAAAAATTATATTTTCGCTTTCAGTAAAGGAAAAAATATCCGTTGCAACAGAACTTTGAATGGTCTAAAATATTGTGATGTTGGATTTTAACTATCTTTTCTAGTTTACGAGATCTAAACGGGACAGACGGACAGACATTCACACAAAACTAATAGCGTCTTTTCCCCTTTCGGGGGAGCTAATAAATAGAGGCCAGATCTACATAGATCTATTTACGAGTTCTAGTCTAGATATAGATCTAGTAGATTCTATATCAAGATTATAGATCTAGCTCTAGACTTAGATACAGAAAATAGGGACCTACACTTAGACTAGAGTCTTAGATCTAACTCTAGATCTAGACTTGGAATAGATATTGACAGACTTAGACTTAAAATGACTTAAATCTAACTCTAGATCTATACTTTAGACATAGAGACTGAGATCTATATCTATTTCTAGATCTAGACTTAGAGAATTAGATCTTGAATCTAGATTTAGATCTAAAATTATTTCTTGATCTAGCTAGATCAATGTCTAATTTGTATCAAACAGAAAGTATAAGGAAAGATTTCAAATATATTGTGTTTTGTAGTGTAGTGGTTATCACATCTGCCTAACAAGCTGATGGTCTTGGGCTCGAAAGCCAGTTGAAACCTTTTTTTTAGTTAATAAATATTTCTACATTTTTTTTGTGAGTCACATCCTGTAAAATAGATATGCATTTTTTGATGATTTTTTAAAGTATATTTTTTACACCCTAATATGTTCTATCCTCTATCAATGTCTAGATCTGTCCGTCTGTCTGTAGGTGGACTACTTTGGGGGCCGATTTTAAGTTTGTGTGTCCACACCTACTGTCTTTGTAACCTTGTTATTTCCTGTATTGGTTGCCGCCAATTCCAAATGTTAAAAAAATGTATTAATAGGTTTAAACAGGTTATCTATAGATTAGATATGTTGATAAACAGACAGAAAGATGGATGGATGGATGGATAGATAGATAGATACATAAATAGATAGATAGATAGATAGATAGATAGATAGATAGATAGATAGATAGATAGATAGATAGATAGATAGATAGATAGATAGATAGATAGATAGATAGATAGATAGATAGATAGATAGATAAATAGATAGATAGATAGATAGATAGATAGATAGATAGATAGATAGATAGATAGATAGATAGATAGATAGATAGATAGATAAATAGATAGATAGATAGATAGATAGATAGATAGATAGATAGATAGATAGATAGATAGATAGATAGATAGATCTAGATAAAAGAAACGTATTGTTTGCTAGACTTAGGAATGTCCCAATGCCAAACTGTAAAATGTACAGTTCAATAGACTTGAGCATGTCGTAATGTCAAAGTGCCAGCCGTATGCCAGGGAATGTGGTATTCACACAAAATACATTCTTATAATCCATTATCTTGTGCGTTCCTTTCCAATTTGACCAACTACTTTCGATTATTTTGTAATAACCACACTGAAACTCATCTTTTGAAATATCTTGTATTTGTCTGATTGCCAGTTGAAGAAGTCACTTGGCACTGGAGTGAGTGGGCGTGTTCTCGTAAGTGTGACGTATCAGATCTGGTCCGGAAGAGGTCAGTCGTTTAAATTTTTTAACTTAGCAGTGTACATTGTCTCTCAAAGACATTTTAGCATTGTATAGTGCCGCAATAGTGCGTCTCAGGGCCGGATTTAAGTATGTGGAGGCCCCTACACTTTTCAAAGCTTTAATAAAAATTCACTTATTAAAAAAAAAACTACTAAAAGCATGCCATATTCTACAAAAAAAGTGACTACTTATAAATAACATTTAATTTGGCTTCGTTACCAAAAAATAAAATGTTCCAATACACACACATAAGTATTTCAGTAACGAAGAATGTAAATTGTAAAGGTTTACGCCATGTAGCTAATTAAGAGTAATTAGCGAGTAAACTATAGGCGGACACGTTTTAAACCACGACTCTGTTGCCAATTGTGAAATTTCAAGTAGTGTCGGGGAAAATGAAAAAAAGAAAAAAACACATAAGGTTGCAGACTTCTCTATATATGAATTTTTTTCTCCATTGTTGGGGGGGGGGGGGGGGACTCTTTCTTGTGGAGGCCCCGCCTGCCCTCCATTAAATCCGGCCCTGATGCGTCTTCAATTCTCATATTGCTTGCTATCTTTTGTTTATTTGGGGGGCGGGGGTAAGGGGTATCCATGTTGAGTGTGTTTTTAGGGTGGTGTGTTTTTAGGTCGGTGTGTTTTTTTAGGGTGGTGTGTTTTTAGGGTGGTGAGTTTTTTTAGGGTGGTGTGTTTTTAGGGTGGTGAGTTTTTAGGGTGGTGTATTTTTAGGGTGGTATGTTTGTAGGGTGGTGTCGTGTAAGAAGTATCCATGTTTTATTTTGGCGCTCAGAAAACACGTTATTAGTTCGAACCGAAAATTCATAAGACCCTGAGTCTGGTATCCAAGCAGTTTATGCACATAACGCTTTACAAGACGGCCTAAATAATTATATATATGGATAGATATGGATATATATATATATATATATATATATATATATTAGACAAATCGGACAGAAAGGCAACTACCAGCACTGTGGAGCACTCTAGAGCAGGACAAGACACACAGAAAGTCTCTTTACATTCACTGGACACAAACTCGTTCCCGGACGTATTGACCAAATCTTGCTTCTGGAAAAAGGATGGGATTTAGGGCGAGAGAGTGAGGTCGACGTGTTGCGCGAATCCTCCTCACTTAATCCAAATTTTCAGCGTAAGTCACTTAGTCACTTAGTCGATCAATTGCGATCAATTTTACTTTACTTTACGAACCTTGCAACCTATGCAACCAGTGACTATAAAAGTAAATAAAGATTCAGGTGAAAATTAGCCGGATTATTACATTTTATTACATGAAAGCTGACAATGCCTTTTTTCTTTTATCGCACGTAGGATTGGCGTTTTCCGTCAATTTGGTCTAATTTTCAGGAGATTTTTATGAGTTCTAATGAGATTTTAATAAATTCAGATTTCCATGAATTTTTCGTATACATTTTGCAATTAAATAATTACACCTAGAATTATCGCGGGGCCTATGAAAGCGGGGGGCTCACTGCGACCGCATAGGTTGCAGTGGCCTAAGACCGGCCCTGCATTGACTTTTATGTTTTTTGTGAAGAGCGTCTAGTGAAAAAAAAAATCACTTGTCAAATCATGGAAATACATTGATCTTTTTCATACCTGTAGCTGGGCTACTTTAATGGAGTAAATCAAACGAAAAGTTAAACAGTCTGAGAAAACCAAAAGCTACAAAATATCAATGAGCTTTGCCTCTCAAAACAAAAACTTAAATTCCATTACATATTTTTAGTATTTCTATTTCATTAGATATTTTTGTATATCTATTTCATTACATTCTTTATTTATATATCAAACAGATTAACTTTGTCTCTACAGGATGTGTTTGTCCAATGGACCAACCTCTGATGCTGTGGAGTGCCATGGGTCAGTTTCCGAACTCACTCCAGGCACTTGTTATGTCAATGTGAAATGCCCAGCAGGTAAAATGTATACAGTTCTTGGGTTAGGGATTTGGACACACTATTGGTCACAACATCCCACTGGACAAGCTCAGCCTACAGCAATTATCAACTTTAACCTTTACTAGTCTACAGTAACATCAGAAATGTCACATGACTAACCATAACCTATTTCTTATTGTTTGATACAAGTGTTTGCTCTCTGGTAATATTGTTACCTAATTACTTCTATTAACTGTCTCCAGAATTACTTCTCTTGCAATATCCTAATTAATGTCTCTACACGTCTTAGCTTTTTCTATCCCAGAATTGTCTAAGCTTTCAGATTTCTATACCTATTTTTTAAACGTGTGCACATGTAATTTTATCTAAAAGTTTCAACAATTTGAACTGTCAAGATGCAATGTTCTACCTTTGTGGCCAGATTGTTCTAATTGTAAACTATATCACAAGATTGTCCTAACTGGTATTTCTATTTCACAAATTGTGTAGCTTTCATCTTTATTCCTTGATTGCTACAAGCTTAATGTCTATCCTCGCCGTATCCTAGCTTTCATCTCCATCCCCAGATTGCTTAGCTTCTAATTTTTATCCCCAGATTATCCTACTCCTAGCTTTAACCTCTACCTCAGATTATCCTAGCTTTAATTCCTATCCCCAGATTATCCTAGCTTTAATTCCTATCCCCAGATTATCCTAGCTTTAATTCTATCCCCAGATTATCCTAGCTTTAATTCCTATCCCCAGATTATCATAGCTTTAATTCCTATCCTCAGATTAGCCTAGCTTTCACCTCTCTCCTCAGATTGCCCTATCTTCCAGTGGGATGTGAACTGTAATACGTCATGTGCCAACTGTAAGACGGACTGTGACAAATTTAACGGAACTTGTACAAGATGCCAGGCTGGCTACAAATCACCAGAAGAGGCGTGTTACAAAGGTTACAGCAGTCTCACCTGAATAGTTTGTTTGGGTTTATATCGTCAACACATAATAGTTTAGGTTTAGTTGTTTTACAGTCATTGACAAGAAATGAAGATTATTATGTCCTGCAGGACCCGGGCATGCTACCCTGCCTGATAGTGGCGCCCGGGTGGAAACGATTGTAGGAGTAAACGATCAGGCCAAAGGGTAGCAAAACAAGACTTCCGTGGGGGTGTCTAAGGGGGTGTGAGAGCACCCACAACCTTGTTGCAATCCAGGCACCGTTCCTCAAGAGGCCGTTACATAAATGGCGTGTCCTGTACGATTAGCCTGGTATAGAAAAGGAAAATGGCGGGGGTTCCGGTGTACCCGGCCTCTGACCGCGAGTCTAACCCTCCGCCAGACAGAAGAGTCTACACTCTGGTCTCATTCAGGCCGGTGAGAGGGAGCTCATGTTTACTTTTGTTGGTCTAAAGTTCCAAGAGCTGAAGGCTCAACTCTACCTGAAAGTTTCTAGAAGAAGATGTCCTGCAGGACGGCAAAGAGTGAAAGAAATGAAGATTATTATGTCCTGCAGGACGGCAAGGAGTGAAGTCGGACAAGGTTTAAACTCGGGACCTTCGTAACGACCAGGCAGCCATCATGCTACATCTGATTGCGCTTCATTAGAACTCTAGAGCAATAGTGTTTCCAATTATAATAACTGCCATAGCTAAATACGTCCAAGTGTGATGCGTGATGTTTTCTTGAGTTGGTATATTGTCTGTTGCCAAGCTAGACTTCAGTGAATGTTCTGTTTTTACTTTTTAACATAGCACACTCCATAATTAATCAAACATACAAGAAAGTATAGCACGTTGAAATATGAAGACTTTATAAATTAATGCAATATATATATATATATATATACATCAGAATCACAATACTAAATTCACATAAAAAAAACTATATAGAAAATACGAAAAACATGCATATATGTAACCCTGCCGGACAAGTAAAAACAAAGGACATCTGGGCCACGAGGCCTTCATCAGGTACAAAACAAACAAAAAATAAAAAACAATTAACAGAAAAATAGTCTTAAGTTAACTTATCTGTCCGATGTTGTTCTCTATCGAGGTAGAAAAGAAATGAGCTACGCTGGTGTAAAAGCCCGGGTAAACGGAAGGGGGCGGAG